ACCAAGACTGGCCTCGAACTCATGATGATCTTCCTGCCTCAGCCTCCTGATTAAAAGTTAGAAAAAGACAACAAATTGTAAACAAAAGTGAATCCATTAGAATTACTGCAGGCTTCTTGACATAAACCTTAAAGGCTAGGAGGGCCTGGAGTAGTGTTTCAAGCCCTAAAAGATAACTTTCAAGCCCAACTTACATATCCTGTGGAACTTTCCTTTAAAATTGACACAAAAAATAACAGATTTTCATGACAAAGAGCACCTCAAGAAATTCATGACTACTAAACTAGTACAGCTAGAAATAAAGGAGCTCAGTGAGTCACTCCCTTCTTTCCATTCAACCATAAACACAACACCACCTTAAGGATTACCCAGGTTTATTAAATTTAGGAGGTGATGCCTGAGGCAGCAGATTATTGGCATCAGTGAGAGAGACAGTGGAGGCACTGAGAAGCGGAGGTGTCTGACTCTTTAAATACTGAAAGCCTGACTTAGCAAGTCCCTTTTTTCCACTTTGCCCTTCTGCCTGTTCCTGCTGCTACCATCCTGTGATCATCAATAAATGTGACTACTTACTATACTATTATATACTACAAGGTACTTCTTTCATTGTTGTACACAAGAACTGGACTATTTTTAGCCCACTCAACTGTAAGAAAACCAGGATTACAAAAAGTTCTCAAAGCTATTCTGGGAGAATGAAGCCAATAGTGCTAATAAGTAAAAAAGAATGAATATGCCTGTGAGGATGAGCTGCTAAGCAAAAGGGGGAAAAGGAAAGAAAGATAATGGCAACACGTCCACACCTCCTAGTATAACTCTCAAAGTTAATCTCAGTTCTCCAGTCAAAAGACACAGACAGGTAGAATGGATCAAGAAACAAAACTCAACATGTAGTATATAAGAAACACAATTTGAAAAGGAACTCATACATTAAAAGTCAAAGGACAAGACCAGGGAGAATTTAGGAAGGAAGTTGCAGAGAGCAAAGCTAAAGCAGCTAAGAAGGATTTCAGAAACTGTCCTTAAATAAGGACATATTTGAGGCAAAATCTGATTGTGATCGGCAAAAGAGATGAAAGAAGATACCTCTGGGGCCAGGGAGATGGCTCAGTGGAATAAGC